GTCGGCAAATGCGATGATTTGTGTTCAAGTTAGGATACCCATGTGTTTAGGTTCAATTGTGATCATGCTCAACAAAAAGGAAAAAAAAACTAAAGATGATGAAACTCGGTCCCGCTACAAAACTCGTGGTAACGACCTTGGGAAACGGTGGTGGGGAACAACTTAGGATTCCGTCGACAGTATTTCGAGATGGGCTGCTAAATGGTGGCAAAGGCGATGATTTGTGCAAAAAGCCATAGATGAAAACCTAACGGACAACAACTAAACACAAAGGTGATGATTTGTGCAAAAAGGTGAAAACCTAACGAACAATAACAAAACACAAAGGCGATGATTTGTGCAAAAAGGCATAGACAAAAACCTAGCGAACAATAACTAAACACAAAGGTTGTAGAATGGAGAGTGGGGTAAAAGAAGTACTTGAAACTTCCCCACTTGCACTTGGAGAGTGTGAGAGCCACTAATGAATAGTAGCGGCCTTGGAAAACGATGTTGGGGAACAACTTAGGATTCCGCTGACAGTATTCCGAGATGGGCTGCTAAATGGTGGGCAAAGGCGATGATTTTTGTTCAAGTTAGGATACCCATGTGTTTGGGTTCAATTGTGATCATGCTCAACAAAAAGAAAAAAAGAAAGAAAGAAAAAAAAATACTAAAGAGGATGAAACTCGATCCCGATACAAAACTCGTGGTAGCAGCCTTGGGAAACGGTGATGGGGAACAACTTAGGATTCCGTCAACAATATTTCGAGATGGGCTGCAAAATGGTGGGCAAATGCGATGATTTGTGCAAAAAGTCATAGACAAAAACCAAGCGAACAACACCTAAACACAAATGCGATGATTTGTGCAAAAAGCTATAGACGAAAACCTAATGAACAATAACAAAAAACACAAAGGCGATGATTTGTGCAAAAAAGCCATAGACGAAAACCTAGCAAACAATAAATAAACACAAAAGTTGTAGAATGGAGAGTGGGGTAAAAGAAGTACTTGGAACTTCCCCACTTGCACCTTTAGAGTGTGAGAGCCACTAATGAATAGTAGCAGCTTTGGAAAATGATGATGGGGAACAACTTAGTATTTCGCCGTCAGTATTCCGAGATGGGCTGCAAAATGGTGGGTAAAGGCAATGATTTGTGATCAAGTTCAATTGTGATCACGCTCAACAAAAAGGGGAAAAAGTACTAAAGAGGATGAAACTCGGTCCTGTTACAAAACTCGTGGTAGCAGCCTTGGAAACGGTGATGGGGAACAATTTAGGATTCCGTCGACAATATTTCGAGATGGGCTGCAAAATGGTGGGCAAAGGTGATGATTTGTGCAAAAAGCCACAGACGAAAACCTAGTGAACAATAACTAAACACAAAGGTGATGTTTTGTGCAAAAAGTTATAAACGAAAACCTAACGAACAATAACAAAACACAAAGGCGATGATTTGTGCAAAAAGTCATAGACGAAAACCTAGCGAACAATAACTAAACACAAAGGTTGTAGAATGGAGAGTGGGGTAAAAGAAGTACTTGAAAGTTGAAACTTTCCCACTTGTACTTGGAGAGTGTGAGAGCCACTAATGAATAATGAATAGTAACTCTCATGTTAGGCTTTTATATATTAATTATAATTATAATATATTCATTAATATATTAATGTTATGCTTTTATATATTAATAATATATTAATGTTAACCTGTACGTTCCGCCGACGATCAAGTCATCTAGGGAGCACGCTGCTGCAACTGTTCATAGATCGTTTTTCTGGTAGGGCTGTTCGATAATGAAGCACGATTTTTTGGGGAAAATATAATTATAATAAATAATTTATATATTAAAATAGGTTCAACCTTTTTTTGGTTAAGTAGTGGTTCTTAATCAACAACCCTTATTAAATACAAGTAATCCAACGGCTGAAAAATGGACGACACTAATTCCGTGCCGTTACCACAGAATCTTTGCATTGTTCTCCTTTTTTATATATATCTTTTTTCATCGCTGAATTTTTAATATTTTAAGTTAAAAATTGGTGACTTGGCGGGTTGACCGTTAGTCAACGACCTTGATCGTCAAAACTAATGGTAAACTCTAGGGTTAGCAAATTGGTAAAGTATATGTTTAGTTCAAACCAAGATATTATATATCGAAAGAATTGACCAGAATATTAAATATATTAAAAATTCAGACTAGACAAATATATTAACCCAATATATAGTAGAAATCGTTATTGTGCGAAACCAGAACAGTACAAGAAGAATCAAACAACTGCTTCATATCAAATTATGGGTAGTTTATGCAGCTGCAAGGGACGGCGAGTAAGGAACGGGGATTAAACACAGATCACGTTTCCTTTTCACATTCACACCAAAATTTTCAGACATGTCCAGGTCTTCAAAGCTTCCCCCGTTTTCTTCAGGCATCTCCCAGTCGAAATGGTACAACAAGCTAGCCAGTTGAAGTTCCACATTCGCCATCCCAAACGCCATACCGGGACACATCCTCCTCCCTGCTCCGAATGGAATGAACTCGTAATTCGTCCCTTTGTAATCGAGCGACGAATCGACGAACCTCTCAGGATCGAACTCGTCGGGTCGCACCCAGTACTTAGGATCTCTTCCCATGGCCCACACGTTGATGAGCACCCTGGTATTGGCGGGAACATGGTAGCCATCAATTTCACATCCCTCGGAGCTCAGCCTAGGAAGCAGCAGTGGTGCGGTCGGGCGAAGCCTCAACGATTCCTTGAGTACCATTTTCAGGTACTTCAATTCCCCGAGGCGAGCTTCTTCTACTGTTCCCGTCGAGCCAAACACCTGCCTTACCTCAGATTGTGCCTTTCTCAGCGTTTTTGCGTTTCTCAGCAATTCGGACATCGCCCATTCAACTGTCGTGGAGGAAGTATCGGTGCCACCTACGAATACGTCCTGTGGAAACACCGTCCCAATTAAGTTATGCACTTATGCTAGATATTGTGACCAAAGGTTCTACCAAATTTTTTTAGTCACGAAAATGTTTTTACAACCAAAATTCAACAATTAGCCACCATTACGCTTGGTCACAGAAGGGCTTTGTTGTTGTAGTGTGCCTGTATGATATAGTAGATGATAAAATATAGCACTAATTTTAATTTCAAGATAGCATCCATACCATAATAACGGCCTTAACACTGTCATCCCCAAAAGGGAAATCAAGTTGCCCACCCTCCTGGAGCTTCAATAGCACATCGATGAAATCTTCGGCATCATCGCTGTTGTCGTTGTCGCTCACCCTTTTAGACCTATGCTCGGCAATAATGTTGCCGAGCACAGCGTCCAGCCGCCGACGAATGTCGGCCAACGTGGCCTCCTTCCCGCAGATTCTGTGCAGCCATCTGCGGGAGGGGAACAGGTCGGCGAGGCTGAATCCCGCGGCCTCCCGCAGGATCTCATCCGCAATGATGAGAAACTTGGTCTGGTCCTCGCTCGTCTTCCCTCCGAAAGCTGTCCTCGCGGTGACGAAGCTCGTCCACTCGTACACAAACACCCTGAGGTTTACGGTCGCCCGTGCTGCCGCAGCACGGGCGAGCCCAGCGACTGCCTGGGCCGCCTCCTCTTTCCGGATGGACCGGAAAGAGCGGACCCTCGAGCTGCTCAGCAGCTCGAGGTTGAAGATCTTCCTGAGCTGCCTCCAGTACTCGCCGTGGGGCGTGAACGAGAGGCTGGTGAAGTCGTAGGTGAAGAACCTGGCGGAGGCGAGCAGAGGGCGGTTCGAGAAGGTGGCGCCGTGGGTTGTCAGCACCTCCTTGGCGATCTCCGGGGACGAAACGACGACGGCCGAGGACTCGCCGAGCTGGATGTGCATCAAGGGGCCGTGTTTGAGGGCCAAGTCCCGGAGCCGGACGTGGGGGGGAGGGTGGAGCGCCAGCTGGTGGATGTTGCCGATGACGGGGAGCTTCCATGGGCCTGGAGGGAGACGGCGACGGCTCAGCTTGGATGCTACGACGCCGTTTTCGTTGGTGGTGGACCGGCGCCGTACGGTGATGATGAGGAAGGTTAGGGGAAGAAAGAGAAGGAAAGTGAGGAGGAGGATTGGTTGGGAGGAATCGTTAGCTGCTGGGACTTCACGATGAAGGTCCATGGAGGCTCGCTAGCTGGTAAATTTAATTTGAGAGTTAATTTAGTTTTCAGATGGCTCGCCGTACTTCGAAGTTGAGCTATTAGGGGTAGTTAATTTATACCGCAGCACCGGTGGCTAGGGCAATGATCCGGTCCCTATCGGACCAAACCGACATTTGAATCGGACCTGATCAAATGCTGATCATTGATCTCAGGGGCGGACCCAGGACTTTCGGGGGTGTCTCGGTACACTCATAAATTTTGAAAAAGCGATTACCCAATCCCAGTGGTAATTTACGTATAGATAAAAAATTATAATTAATAGTTTCTTTTTTCCGTTGAATTAGTTAATTCAAACTAAATTTGAAAAAACGATTATCCTACTCTCGTTTATAGTTTGCGTATGAGAATATAAGTGGTAGTTTGGATAATTCAAATCTGGAACACTACTATTATTAATACATATAATTTTCATTAGGCTATAACTTTTTTGTTGTTCTATTCTAAACACTGTGTAATAGCAAAAGCCTATTCTCTATCTTTAATCGTTTTCAAAGCCTAACAATTAATCTAATTACAAGCTACCCTTAATTTGTAATGATTTTATGGTTGTACGACAAGTGTTGAAAGTGTCTTTTCAACTTTGAGTTACATCAAAAACAAATTTAGAAGTCCTATATGCGTAAGTTCGTGAATGATTGTCTAGTAGGATATACCGAGATAAATTTGTTGAGCAATCTCATGAAACTTGAATGAATTCATATTTTTCAAAAGTAAACTCTGGAAATGAATTGCTACGATGTGCCGTGACAATGATGCTATAGATCGAGAATCTCAAAACGATTCGGCGCTGTCTATATAATAATTGGAGGGGATTCAGGTTTCCCCAGCTCATCGATCAGTAACAACTTCAATAAAATAAAATAAAAAAGTCGTCGCTAAAAGTTGGGTTTCCCATGGAACACTACTTGCCGAACTCGACATGCCTCTTCCCCTCCGCCTCCGCCTCCGCCTCCATCCCTTTCCTCCTCCTCCTCATCGCACTATTCACCGGCGCCGTGGTGGTGGCAGCCACCAGAAAGAGCAAAACCTCTCCGCCACCTCATAACCTGCCTCCGGGGCCATGGAAGCTCCCGATCATAGGAAACCTCCACCAACTGGCGGGTCCGGTGCCGACCCACCGCCGCCTCCGAGACATGGCCAAGGACCACGGCCCCGTGATGCGGCTCCAGCTCGGGGAGCTGCCGCACGTCATCGTCTCCTCCGCGGCAGCGGCCAAGGACGTCTTGAAAACCCACGACGCGGCTCTCGCTTCCAGGCCGTACCTTCTGGCCGCCGACATCCTCTTCTACGGCCGCAAGGGGATAACCTTCACCCCTTCCGGCGAGTACTGGCGCCGGATGCGCAAGATCTGCACCGCCGAGCTGCTCAGCACCAGGCGCGTCCTCTCTTATCGTTCGATAAGAGAGGACGAGCTGTCCGGCAGCCTGGTGCAGCGCATCTCGACTTCAGCTGGCCGAGTTGTCAACTTGGGAGAGACCCTTTTCTGGGTCTCGAACCGCGTGATTGCCAGGTCAGCTTTCGGCGTGGTTAAGGAGAATGCGGAATCGTTTATGGACGTGGTGAACAGTATTTCTGACCAGTTGGGTGGTTTGGCCGTCTCCGATTTGTACCCTTCCGTCAAATTTCTCCCTGCGTTGACCGGATTCAGAGCGGAGCTCACCCGCCTGCATCGAGAAGCCGACGGTTTGCTGGAGGAGATAATCAACGAGCACAAGGAGAAAAGAAGACAACTCAACAAGGGAGAATATTCTTGTGAACAAGTAGATTCAACGGAGAATCTTGTTGACGTTCTCCTGGATCTCCAAGAAAATTGTACTGACGTGGAGTCTCCATTGACCATTGACAACATCAAAGCAGTCGCTACAGTAAGACTTTTCACTTGAAAAATAATGAATTACTACGTACCTCCATGCATATATGCGTTGTTGTTGTTGTTGTTTCTGTAAACATGTGTTTTTACAAAATGTGCCATCAGGAATTGCTCCTGGCAGGCAGCGGAACCTCGCCGGTGACAATAGAGTGGACCATGTCAGAAATTATGAGCAATCCAAGAGTATTAGCAAAAGTGCAGGAAGAAGTTCGTCGCGCCTTCCGTGGGAAAGGGAAAGTCGGCGAAGAAGGGTTGGATGAGTTGGTGTACTTGGATGCAGTCATCAAGGAGGCCTTGAGACTGCACCCTGATGGTCCTTTGCTAGCTCCGAGAGAAAGTCAAGAAGATGTGGTTGTTGGTGGGTACCTGGTCCCCGCCAGAACCAAAGTCATGGTCAACGTTTGGGCGATTGGGCGAGACAAAAGCTCTTGGGATGATGCCGATACGTTTTACCCGGAGAGATTCTTTGATTGTGCGGTGGACTACAAGGGGAAGGATTTCGAGTTCCTTCCGTTTGGGGCAGGAAGGAGAATGTGTGCTGGAATTTCATTTGGAATGGGTATTGTTAAACTCGGACTAGCGAATTTGCTCTATCATTTTGACTGGGAACTCCCAGCCGGAATGAAGTCGAGCGATCTAGACATGACGGAGCGTTTTGGGCTTACCTTACGCAGAAACTGTCCGTTGTGTTTGATCCCAATTGCATACAATTCCGTATCATGACTTTCTTTGTATTAGCTTACTAGGTATGAAATAAGTTTATCAACTTCTTTACGCTTGGATCAGGTGACTGATCCTATAGCTTGGCTTGCTTGTCCTCTCACTGCAGGGATTTAATTTGCGCTTGATTTTCGTTGTTAATTGTGTGATACGAATAATTAGACTTATTTGTTTGGCAACCTTGTGGCTTGTGGTACTCGTATGTGGCTCTGCCCTTTTGTTTCTTCAAAATTGGAGATGAAAGCAAATTAAAGCAGTTGTAAGAGAAAATTAAAGTCTTTGATGGATAAAGATGGAATTGTAAAGTTCTACATTACGAGTGACTCAAATTATGAAGGCATATTCAGGTTACATACAAGATGTCGGCGTTTATAAAGGACTTTAGGCCTATTAGCCTCATTGGCAGCTTGAACAAATTAATCAGCAAAGTCCTTTTTGCTAGAATTCAGCCACTCGTTAAGTCCATTATCTCGTATCACCAGTTTGCTGGAGTCAAAGGGCGACAGAGCCATGAAGCGAATTTCATTGCCAATGAGGTACTCGACAGTAGGAAGAGGAGTGGTAAACCAGGTCTGATCCTAAAGCTTGACATTGAGAAAGCTTTTGATTCTGTCAATTGGAACTGTCTGTTTAATATCGTTAGATCTATGGGCTTTAATCAGAAATTCCATAAGTGGATCAAAGGTATAGTTTCTCAATCGAAATTATCGGTTTTGGTCAATGGAGAAGCAACCGGTTTTTTCAGCATGGAAAGGGGCCTCGAACAAGGTGATTCGCTGTCCCCCTTTTTGTTCAACTTAGTTATGGACATCCTGGCGTTTATGTTGGACGCAGCTAATGCAGCAGGACTCTTGTCGGGCTTCTACTTCGATGAAGATAGGCGCAGAGGGGAAGTTTCACATATCCTGTATGCCGATGATGCTGTTATCTTCTGTGATGCCACGGAACATGAAGTAACTAACCTGTTAGCGGTTCTGTTGTGCTTTCAAAGTGTCACTGGCCTTAAGGTAAATCTTGAAAAGAGCAAATTATTCCCTGTTGGGGAGGTGCCTCATCTGGATAGATTGGCTGACCTCTTATGTTGTGATTGGGATTTTCTCCCAACAATTTATCTTGGGCTTCCTCTTGGGGCTTCACCAACCTCTGGTACCATTTGGAACCCCTTGATCTCTCGTGTTCAGAGCAGGCTTCAAGGTTGGAAAGGGAGGTTCTTGTCCATTGGCGGCAGATTGGTTCTTATCAAGTCGGTTCTCGCAAGCCAACCGACGTATCTTTGTTCCCTTTATCGTGCTCCTACCCACGTTGTGCAGACTATCGAGAAGCTGCAGTGCTCATTCCTCTGGTCCGGGTCTCAGGAGCAGAACAAGTTCCATCTTGTCTCCTGGGATCGTTGTAAACAACCTAAGAAATGGGGTGGGCTTGGTATTCCGGATTTCAAAAGGCATAATACCGCTCTTTTGTCAAAATGGTGGTGGAAGTTTGCCTGTGGGGACTCTTGGTGGAAGGATCTAATGCGAATCAAATATCCAAATGAGGATTCGCAATGGATGCCAGGTAAACCTCTATCCCCGGTAGGTTGCAGTCCTTGGTCACAAGTTTACAAAGTGAAAGAGGAATTCTGGAAGTTTGCAGTAATCAGTCCGGGTTCAGGGGATTGCATCTCCTTTTGGAGAGATCGGTGGGTAAAAGGAGTTACTCTTGCGGATTGCTTTCCGAGAGGTGCGGCTGCCGCTGTCAATCCCCGTGCAAGACTATCTGATATCCTTTTAAGAATCGATGAGTGTGTTTATTGGGATATTTCCTTTAAATTTCAGTTAAGGGGGGGTGCTGAGAGGGAAAGGGAGAGGCTTGTGAATCTTATTAATAACCATATTCCTTTGTTAGCAGCAGGCCATGACAAGATCACTTGGTTACTGATGGGGACGTCGACGACGTCCATGCTTAAGCATGCAACGTACCAGAAGCTTGTTTTGTTTTATTGTCGGTTCCTTTTCTTTATTTGCTTTGGACTTTTATTTGATGTAATTGTCGGTTCCTTTTCTTTATTTGCTTTGGACTTGGAGTCTTGTTAGCCTTCTATTTAAAGGCTGTCGGTCTGTACGTTTGAGTCAGTTTTCGGAATTGGAATAAAAGAAGAAAAGAGGAGTCTTTCCTCGCATACATCGTCTCTCGGGCATTCGTGGAATCAACGAGTAACGATAACCCGACCCCCATCGCACGCACGCTGCATCATATTGGTATCCAGAGCCCGGTTGATCTGGAGGAATGCCGCCCCGCCGGGCAGCGCGACATGCGACCGCGGAGGATGGCGACTTCGCTGATATACGACGTGAGAACGCCGACGTTCGCCGCGACAAAGACGAGCTGCGTCGCCAGGTGGAGGTTTTGACTCAGCGGCTGGACGAAGTCGTACAGATGCAACGCCAATATGATGACATTACCGTCGTCGATGAGAATCCCTTCGCTAGGTTACGGAATCAGTCCCCTGAACGCCCCAACCACCGTTGGGAGCAGGGCTTTAGGGTGGAAGTTCCCCAGTTCGATGGCAGCATGAAACCGGAAGAGGTAATCGACTGGCTGTCTCAGGTTGAGGAAATTCTGGACTTCAAGGAAGTTCCCGATGATCGGCGCGTTTCTTTGGTCACGACTCGATTATATGGGCGTGCACAAGCATGGTGGCAACAATTGAAACTCACCAGGACTCGGCAAGGCAAGGAGAAGATTGCGAGCTGGAACAAGTTCAGGAAGCACTTGAAGTCGGCATTCTTACCTTATAACTTTGATCGGGAGTTGTACCAGCGATTCCAAAATCTCCGCCAGGGTAATCGCACGGTAGATGAGTATTCGACAGAATTCTATTCGTTCTTGGCACGGGTCGATATTAACGAGTCGCCCCTACAACTAGTCTTCCGATATATTGGTGGATTACGCCTACAGCTGCAGGACGTACTGAACATGTTTGATCCCGTGAACGTCGCGGAAGCTCAGCAACGGGCAACTCAGGCTGAGAGGCAGCTAGCGCGACGTGGTTTTAGCAACTCCAGGCCACCAGTCGGCGCCTCCAACAGACCCGACTCTCTACCTCCACCGGTGCGCGAAGGGAATAATCCCCCATCATGGCGAAGCGCACCCAGCAACCAGCAAGGGAGTCCAGGAGTATTGCGGTGTTTCAGTTGTGGCGAAGTCGGCCATCGACAAGCAGAGTGCCGGAACCCGAAGACGGCCGCACGTGGACTTTTCTCTGACGAAACCACCGTGGACCCAGACCCTTTGGTGGACTCCCAACCGGTATATGACACTTATGAAGAGGCGGAAGAAGTTGTCTCGGGTGATGTGGGGCCTCTTCTCGTGCTCCGGCGATCCTGTTTGACTCCACGCCTCCCGGACCACGAGTGGTTGCGAAACAACCTCTTCCATTCCACGTGCACCATAGGCGGTAAGGTATGCTCGTTCATTATCGACGCCGGCAGCTGTGAGAATGTGATAGCTGAAGTGGCAGTGTCCAAACTGGGATTGGAAACAGAGGATCGTCCTAAGCCATACCGTCTTTCCTGGCTTAGCCAAGGTACTGACGTAACTGTGTCTAAACGAGTACTTGTGAACTTTTCGGTGGGTGCAACATATCGTGATGCTGTCTATTGTGACGTGGTCCCCATGGACGCGTGCCACCTGCTCCTCGGCCGGCCGTGGCAGTATGACAATTCAGTTATTCATGACGGGCGTGCTAATACCTATTCGTTCCTGTTCCGGGGAACCAAAATTGTGCTGATGCCGACCAAGCCCAAGGGTGGGCCTACTCCCTCTCCTAAAGTGATATCCCCAACTACTCTGTTGTCTAGAGGCCCGTTCCAAGAAGCAATGAGGGAAGCTGGTATGGTTCTCGTCGTGTGCTGCGCATTACAGGCGAGTGGAGCACCAACTCGTGTCCCCGAGTCTGCTCAACCCCTACTCCAAGAGTTTGCCGATGTGTTCCCGGCCAACCTGCCCAGTGAGCTGCCACCGTTGCGGGACATCCAACATCACATCGACCTGGTTCCCGGTGCGGCCCTACCCAACCGTCCACACTACCGCATGAGTCCGCAAGAACATGAGGAGCTCCGACGCCAGGTCGAGGACCTCTTATCCAAGGGCCACATTCGGGAGAGTCTCAGTCCTTGCGCCGTACCCGCCTTGCTCACACCAAAAAAAGACGGGTCCTGGCGCATGTGCGTTGATAGCCGAGCCATCAACAAAATCACAGTTCGGTATCGGTTTCCCATTCCCCGCCTCGACGATTTGCTCGATCAACTGGGGGTGCTTCTGTGTTCAGTAAGCTTGATTTGAAGAGTGGGTATCACCAGATTCGCATTCGCATGGGCGATGAATGGAAGACGGCGTTCAAAACTCGAGAGGGCTTGTTCGAGTGGCTCGTTATGCCTTTCGGCCTATCCAATGCACCAAGTACATTCATACGAGTGATGAATCAAGTTCTACGGCCATTTATTGGTAAGTGTGTTGTCGTTTATTTCGATGACATATTGATCTATAGTGCTAATGCCCAGGTTCATCTAGAGCATCTCCGTGACGTCCTAGTGGTTCTCCGTCGTGAGAAGTTTTATGCGGCCACGAATAAATGCGAATTCCTCTCTCCATCCATCCAGTCCCTCGGCTACGTGGTCTCGCGAGACGGCCTCAAAGTTGATCCCAGCAAGGTTCAGGCTGTGGCACAGTGGCCACGACCATCATCGATCACAGAGGTCCGCAGTTTTCATGGGCTGGCCTCATTCTACCGGCGATTCATTCCTCATTTCAGCGGCATCATGGCTCCTTTGACGGATTGTATCCGCGGTTCTAAGTTCCAGTGGACGCCAGATGCCGAGGCGGCATTCCTTGAAATCAAGCAGCGCCTAGTAGCCGCCCCTATTCTGGTTCTCCCGGATTTTGGACAACCCTTTGAGTTGCATTGCGACGCGTCTCAGACCGGGATTGGTGCGGTTCTTAGCCAAGCTGGTCGTCCCGTAGCCTACTTCAGTGAAAAGCTAGCCGGCGCCAAGCTCCGCTTTAGCACGTACGATGTTGAGTTCTATGCGGTAGTTCAAGCCATCAAGCATTGGCGGCATTATTTATTTCACCGTGAGTTCATTTTATACACCGATCATGATTCCCTCAATGCATCTCGGCGCCGTCGTGGATTGCTGGCCGAGATGCGAGTGCAAGTCCCCTGTTTCGACTCCTTCATGGAGCTTTATGTGGATGACCCCTTTTTTTCCCAGATTTTGGATCGCATACAGCAAGGGGATCCGACCGGTTTTGTACTCGAGGATGGGTTCCTGTTCCGAGGTGTCCAACTATGCGTTCCGACTTGCAGCCTCCGTCTGAAGATGCTCCAGGAAGTTCACAATGAAGGCCATGTGGGTCGAGATCGTACCTTTCAGCTCCTCGCCGCATCGTACTTTTGGCCATCTATGCGAAAGGAGGTCGGTCGGTACGTGGCGCGTTGTCGTATCTGTCAGTTGGCAAAAGGAGCTGCCACTAATGCCGGCTTATATCTTCCCCTGCCTATTCCGTTACAGCCATGGTCCGACGTAAGTATGGATTTTGTTCTTGGCCTTCCCCGCACCCAGCGTGGTTCGGATTCTATCTTTGTCGTTGTGGATCGCTTTTCCAAGATGGTTCATTTCCTGCCATGTAAGAAGACGTCGGATGCTGTGGCGGTGGCCCACCTTTATTTTCGTGACATTTATCGGCAGCATGGAATCCCTGCTTCCATCGTGTCTGATCGCGACTCTCGTTTCGTTGGTCATTTTTGGAGGAGTTTGTGGCGTATGGTCAATACACAGTTGAACTTTAGCAGTGCCTACCATCCACAAACTGATGGCCAGACTGAGGTTGTTAATCGCTCATTGGGTAATCTTTTGCGGAGTTTAGTGGGGGATCACCCCAAAGCTTGGGATCACAAGCTTCCGCAGGCTGAATTTGCACATAATCGGGCGGTTAATCGTTCCACCGGACTGTCGCCTTTCCAGGTTGTTTACGGGCTCCTTCCTCGCGGGCCACTCGATTTACTCAGTCTTCCCAGCAAGGTCCGTAACCACACGACGGGTGCCGAATTTGTTGAACAGCTCACCCACATCCATCGTACCACCCATGACCGGCTGGTGGCGTCTACTGCGGCCTACAAGGTTGCCGCTGATCGGCGCCGGCGGGCGGTTGACTTCCAGGTGGGTGACTTCGTCTGGGCCATCCTCACCAAAGATCGGTTCCCTGCTCGTGACTACAGCAAGCTCGCCTCCAAGAAGCTTGGTCCGGTTGAGATCGTTGAGAAAATCAACCCCAATGCGTATCGCCTGCGCTTACCTGCTCATATCCGCACTTCTGATGTGTTTAATGTGAAGCACCTCATTCCTTTTTCTGACGAATCCTCGACCGATGACGACAATGGCGGCACCGATTCGAGGCCGAATCTTTTCGGCCCAGGGGAGAATGATGGGGACGTCGACGACGTCCATGCTTAAGCATGCAACGTACCAGAAGCTTGTTTTGTTTTATTGTCGGTTCCTTTTCTTTATTTGCTTTGGACTTTTATTTGATGTAATTGTCGGTTCCTTTTCTTTATTTGCTTTGGACTTGGAGTCTTGTTAGCCTTCTATTTAAAGGCTGTCGGTCTGTACGTTTGAGTCAGTTTTCGGAATTGGAATAAAAGAAGAAAAGATGAGTCTTTCCTCGCATACATCGTCTCTCGGGCATTCGTGGAATCAACGAGTAACGATAACCCGACCCCCATCGCACGCACGCTGCATCAGTTACCCACCACTTCGCAGGTGTTCACTGTGCATTCCTTATATCAAGAGCTGACTCAGGAAGAAGGCAGGACTCGTACAACTGGGGTTCAGGGAGGAGATTTCCCATACAAGTCAGTCTGGTTGAGCCACGTACCATCCAAAATCTGCTTGTTTGTTTGGCTGACCTATCATCGGAAGATACTCACCCAGGACGCACTAAAACAGAGAGGTTGGATTATGCCCAACAGGTGTCCTTTGTGCTGTGCACATGAAGAAGACCCGTCGCACTTTTTCATCACTTGCAGTTTCACTATGATTGTCTGGAGATCATTAGTCGCTTTGTACACGTCGATGGTATTACTGCCCGTGGGGAGATTGAAGACGTCATCAAGAGCTGGGCAACTCTGAACCCGCAGAATCCTAAAGAGTGGTGCACTAGGTCAGTTCTACATGCGCTGCTGTGGTGTATTTGGAAGGAGCGGAACAATCGAATCTTTGAAGGGAGGAGCTCTACTGAATCTATGGTGGCCTTTAAGATCGGAAACCTTATTGCAGCATGGCTCTTGTCTGCGGGTAAAATTGACAAGCAGATTGGTAAAGATTGGATACTAAAACTGAGGGAGGCTCTGCTTCACAGAACCAGACCACATGGGCCTTCCTATTAAGCCGGTGTTGCGCTACTTCCTTGGAGTGTTTTTTGTTGTTGAGGATCCCCTGTTGTATTCTGTGTTTTCCTCTCATTTTTGCTTTTGTTTCTGTTGAGCGGGGTCTGGGTGATCTTGTTTGTTTCTTTGGGATTTTGGCTCCTTTCTTTTTGTTTGTTCTTTCCGGCTTGGAGTGTCTGGTTGCTCCTGTGCCTTGTTTCTGCTTGTTTCTATTTTGGCTTGGGCTTTCTTTAACTTTTAATTAATAAATTTCACCCTTACCAAAAAAAAAAAAAGATAAGATTGAACGCTCGTAGCCACCAACCGATCATACGAGCCACCAACCGATCATATGAACAATCTTGTGGTATATCATTTGAGGAAGGTCTCCACATCTCTAAATTATGGTTAACAACATGTTTTTACAAAAGATAAGGAAAAGAGAATGAATCTTCATTCCTCACGGTTATGAAACAATCTATTGTAGGAGAGGAGGGATGAGTTAGGGTGATTACTAGATGTCGCAGAAGGATTGGATCCATGGATTAAGTGGATTGGTGAATTGATTAATGAATCCAAATGACATCAACGACTTGGATCAAAATGTAAAATTTTAAAAGTTTAGGTACTAGAATGTCATCATGAAAAATTATAACTACCAAAACATAATTTTTCGATGTCATTTTTCGTATAAAAAATGAATTTTAGGTACCAAATTGTAAAGTATAAAAAATTATATGTAATAAACTTTAATTTGTCAACAATCCATGAATCCACCAATCCAATTAAATTTGGATAAAATGGATTGGATTGGATTGGATTGGTGGATTGGATCATAAATTTCCACCTCTAATAAGAACATATAAAACTAAGTACTACTTGTGGGATAAAACTAATATAAAGGTGTAATATTGAGAAGTGTCAGCCAATGCAGTCAAAATCACGTTTTAAAACTTAAAATCTTACGATTTTACGCTTCTAGTTCACTAAAATGCTTTCGTTCCCATATAAAAACTTTAGTGCATAAAATCAGACTAAATTGCGTTTTAAGGCCTTAAAACTTATGCTTTTACGCTTCTAGTTCCCCAAAACGCTTTACACTTTTACGCTTTTAGTTCACTAAATGAGTATTGTTTCATGAAATTAATTATAAAAAGTATATTTTAAAGGTTAATCACCAACAATATGATACATTTGAGATTAAAAGATACATATAAGGTACTTAGATGCATTCTCAGCTTAACCTAATTCACCAGCTGGGCCCTTTCCAAATGTATTAGTATAGAGGGGAAGGTGGCTTATTGTTAAGATCTATGTTTATGAACTTATTGTTAAGATGCTATGAGTTACTCTATTTTAGACATGAATTACAAGTATTTATTAACTTATCTAAATTCTATGAACTTATATTTTACATAGTATATGTCGTACATAAAAGATTTTAGTTATTTTACCGTATGCATAAAAAACTTACGCTTTTACCAGTGCTGTCAAAGCCGAACCGAGCCGGCCGGCCGGACCGTCAAAGCCACCACCCGGCCATAAAATCGGCTCGGATCAGCTATTTAACCGCCACGGTTTTATACAGCGGCCGGCGAGCGACCGAAGCGGTTAACCGCTCGAGCCGCTCAAGTCGGTCGTGCGGTTCGGCCGTTTGGTTTACCCTTAAAAAAAATAGAAAAGGAATCGTGGAATTGGGCAGCCAAACAAAACCCTAACTTTCCTTTTATTTCTCCATCTTCGACCTAGAAGTAGAAGTGTAGAACAGACGACAGAGGGAGAGCGGCGCCACCCTGCCGCCGTCAACCATCACCCCAGGCGCCCAGCGCTTCCGTCCCGTCGCCGCAAGCAGCGCGCCATCGCCAGTCGCCATCGTCGCTTCTGCTCCCCGCTCCCGGCACAAGCAGCTCGCAATCGCCGCAAGCAGCGCCATCGCCAGTCGCCATCGTTGCTTCTGCTCCCCTCCGTCGTCGCAAGCAGCCCCCTGCAGCCTTGCTCCTGCCGCAACATCTCCCCCAACCACTGCCCTGCTCCAGACATCTCACCTCCACAGTCCGCAACATCTCCCACCAGCCGACTCACCTCCTGCTCGAGGTAAGTTAATTTTGTTAAACCTAATTGATGCAAATTTCTGGTTGATTGTAATGTTAATTTGCATGATTAAGAAGTGTCTACTATTACAGATGCCTGTTTATTAGGTACCAGTTCTCAAACGGTTTTTAAACGGTCTAATGTCGGCTGGATCACTAATGACCGAGCCGTTCACGTTACCGGGTCATACTCCGGCTCGGCTTTGACAGCATTGGCTTTTACGCTTTGATTCTACGCTTTACGATTTTACCCCTTTTTTGCTTCTAGGTAGAATCACGCTTTTGACTGCATTGGTGTCAACTGTTTTGTGCTGAGATATCCGAGGAGGGAAAAAGTATGATCTCGCGAGTAACTGGTTTCCCTCTTGGAGATCTGCCTGTTTGATACCTTGGTGTTGGTGGATAAGATTAAAACAAGAATGACGTGGCAAGCTAATATGCTGAGTTATGCGGGGAGGTTACAGCTTTTTTCTTCTGTAATCACTAGCACTATGCAGTATTGGATGACTTTATTTTTGTTACGAATGAAGGTTCTGAAAGAGATTGAACGGATCTGTAAAAGGTTCTTATGGGGGGTAGGAGGTACGGAGAAGAGGAAAAGAGCACTGGTTTTTCATGGGACAAAGTGGCTCGGCTTAAAACATAGGGAGGTTTGGACACTAGGGATTCCAAAACATGGAATAAAGCATGTGTAATACGTCATCTCTGGAACCTATTGGCAGAGGCAGGGTGATCTTTGTGGGTGGCATGGATACTGAAATATAAAGTGAAGTGTCGGTCCATCTGGAATTTGTCCGAGCAATCTTCAGGTTCCTGGATTTGGCGCCGCATCCTTAATTGTAGAAGTAATGCACAGTCTCATCTGTATGGAGCTAGAGCTACGTTGGCATGGGATGGTAAAATTCTTTCTCGCTACTCTGTTAAAACTGTGTGGAATTCTATTCGCCCTACACTCCCTAGCGTTGAATGGAGTGGAGCTGTGTGGGGGAAGCCTTATACTCCGAAACACTTCTACTATGCTATATAGCATTGATGCTTTAATGTACAACTCAAAGTTGTACCATAACATTAAATGTATAAGTTTAGATTGTTTCATAAAGCAATTTGTACCATTATGTTATGGTACAACTTTACAACTTGAAGTTGTACCATCATATAAAAGTACAAGTTCAAGTTGTATCATAAAAGAATTTGTACAAAAAGTATATGTGCAATTTGAAGTTGTACCATAACATAAATGTACAATTTTAAGTTGTACCATAAAAGCAAAAACCCATAGCACCAATACTATATAGCATTGTAAAATTTCTCGAGGCTATATGGTATAAAACTATCTGCTCCCCTCATCAGACAGTAAAGAAATATATAGTCTGATTTTTAATACATGTAATAGTTATAGTGTTGGTACATAACATTGTACTTTGGAGAAGAAATTTTTGCAGGTCGCAAATCCTAGTGCTTATGTAATTTTTAATTAACCATTAAAAAAACTAAGATAAAGGATTAAAGCCAAGAATTAAAAGTCAAATGCATGTTTTGTTTTACTTAATTAGCGGGGTTTTTCCCCTGATGCCATCCTACAAATTTTTGTATTTTACCAATCATACCATTGCAAGGAAAACAACTCTCTAGATAAATAAATTGTGTACTTACAACTTGTGGGGGGAATAGAACACTATGTATAATTTTATCTTCGGTACACTCACTTGTTTTCTTTATTAAATGCACTCGTCTTATAATCTCAATTCAAGAAGATGATTTATTTCAAAACGATGTCAATCACCCCCTGTGATATGATGAAAAAAAAAACACATGAATTTGTACAAAAAAAATCATTACGACAAGGATTGATTAGTTGTGATCTCATGATAAATCATTAAACGAATGCTACCAATTAAAATCCAAAATTCGATGTCTTCAGATTACTTTTAGAGTTGAGTGCATTGAATCCACCCATAAAAGTGAGTGCATCGAATAAGCCACTATATATGGGTGGTTCTATCGTACACTAGGCAGAAATTGGTGAGTGTCGTACACCAGACAATCTCTACCGTACGAGTCCATCTCAACGATCAGCATAATTGTGGGTTTTATTTTTTGTAGGATTAAAAAATAAATTATCACATTTATGCTGACCGTTGAGATGGATGCATACAATTAGAGGTGGACATGTGGGTATGTAATCCGCGGATCTATATCGATCCACCCGCAAATAACCCGACCCGCAAGCTGTGGGTGATAGATGTGAGTGAATTGCGGATTGATAAATCTCCCACCCGCACTTATGTGGGTGGGTGGTGGGTGGATTGCGGGTCACCCGAGGGACCCGCTTCCGATTTTCACATGAAAAAAATGTTGTTTCTTATATTATCGAATATTAATCATATTTCCAAACCGCACTACAGTCTGACCATATACTTCTTAATGTGGAGAATAAATAATACTTTTGACTATTGTTAATGGTTATTGTGCTGTGTAATATCCATTTATTAGATATTGGAATACAAATTATTGTTAATATCCATTATATATTGGGATGAAAATTATAAATTATAAATTGTATAAAATCACAACATGCATAAGTTTTCTCTACACAATTGGTGGATAGAGTAGTACATTTTTTGATGCAAATACTACATGGATTCAATAGAGAGAAAGTGATAAGTGTTTAAATTGATATAATCTTGCTACTTTGCTATGAACTTATTATAAATGTTAGTCAACTTTCTTAATAGCTAGTTGGAGAATTGTTTTTGCGGGTTAACCCACGATCCAACCGCACCCATCCGCCACTCACCCAACCTAACCCGCATAAGAATGTGGGTGAATTGCGATTCCCAATTATTCCAACACGCTAGTAAACGGGTAAGTAAATTTGAGACGAAAA